CTTCTATGTCACATATATACAAAAAAAAAGCCTTTTGGGAAAACTTGTATTTCTAACATTAGCCATCACCAATGTCTTTTCCACCTATTCCAGAATGTGATAACTAGTTTTTAAAAAGCAAGCAGTGTATTTCACATCTCATTTTATGTAGGAATACCCTGAAGGGAATGAGTTTACATTCCTACTGCCACTCAAGTTTGTGGCAGTGCATAATTATTTATTGGAATTTTAAAACTGTCCTATATCTCTGGAAGCCAAATTGTGGGTTTTCACATTAGAAATTACACTCATTCAGAGTATGGACATCTAAGTCATTAAAAAAATTGTTCAAAGGATTTGATTATATAATTTTTCTAGTCTGCGGAATGTTTCAAGGCCTGTTCTCTTCATGGTTAGTTACCTATCTGTCCAGACCAAAATAGACTGGGGTTAAAATGCGGGATCATATAACAGTACAATGTGATTTCTCTGGCCCTACTATTTGTGCAGCCCCAATCTCCTTCAAAGTTAAAACTCCAACCACAGCTGGGCTCATGAGTATAGACTTCTCTGTCATTTTTTTTGAGATGTGTCTGCAGTGGACACCTGGAGAACAGCATAAAAGTGCTGCATACCCACTGACAACTGAAGTCCTGCTATGCCAAGCTCAGCTGCAGCTCTTCCACTGGGCCCGAAATGCTGATACACGTGGGTGATGACATGGCACTTGGGATGTTGTCTGATGAGGTAGATAGACTCCTGTTCCTCCGCTCTTGCGTCATGCTCTGATGTTCTGAGGCCAAGGCAAATATTGTCTCACAGAGATCTTGGCAAAACTAGCTATTTCAGATTTTACTCAAAGTGCCTTTCCATAAAATCTGTACACAATCTGTGGGAATCAACAGTAGAGGCTGGACAGACCCTCTGAATCATCCCCCACTCTGACACTGAAGCTATCATATTGGACTCAGCCTGGACCCTCTACTCTCTTTTTCCAAAGGAGGAGTTCTTTCTTTGGAGGTTTCCCCTTCCTCAGGCAAGGAAGTGCTGACTGCTCCAGCCCACATAACCTACAGACATGTCCAAATCTATGGAGAACACAGTTCTTCAGATGCTTCCTTTGCATCAATAATCAAAATACAACTAATAATTATAGCTAATATTTATTTTACACTTAATGTGTGCTAGGCACTGAGCTAAGCATGACCATCTGGGAAATTGAGGCTTGAAAAGCTTTAAAAAACTTGCGCAGGGGCCGGCCCGGTGGCGCAAGCGGTTAAGTGTGTGCGCTCCGCTGCGGTGGCCTGGGGTTTGCTGGTTCGGATCCCAGGCGCACACCGACACACCGCTTTGCAAGCCATGCTGTGGCAACATCCCATATAAAGTGGAGGAAGGTGGGCATGGATGTTAGCCCAGGGCCAGTCTTCCTCAGCAAAAAAAAAGAGGAGGATTGGCAGATGTTAGCACAGGGCTGATCTTCCTCGCCAAAAAAAAAAAAAAAACTTGCCCAAGCTCACAAGCTAGGACTTGAAGGAGTCAGCAGTTGAATAGCAGTCTTTCTACTATATCCAGAGGCTATGCCCTTAACCAATACACTATACTGTCTCTTAGGATGGAAGTAACTGTAAAGAGTATCTGTAAAATTCTATTCTGTTGAGTAGAGGTAAAATAAATCAAGGAGTTATAGATGTTTATTCTTCTATATTTTAATTCAACATGTTTAGTAATATATGTATTAGTTATTTATTGCTGCATAACAAATTACTCCAATTTTTAGCAGCTTAAAACGATAAACATTTACACTTTCACAATTTCTGAGGGTCAGGAATCTGGGAGCCACTTAGCTGGGTGGTTCTGTCTTAAGGTCTTAAGGTCTGTCTGCAGTTAAGCTGTTGGCTGGGGCTGCAGTCATTTAAACACTCCACTGATGCTAAGTTGCCGCTAACAAGTTCACTCATGTGATGGTCAGAGGGCCTCAGTTTCTCATTGGCTGTTGGCAGGAGTCTTCATTCCTTGCCACCTGGGCCTCTCAAAGGGCTGCTTTCAACATGGCAGCTTGCTTCCCCCAAAGAAAGAGAGAGAGAGGGAGAATATCCAAGATGGAAATCTTTTAAAATGTAATCATTGAGGTGATGAAACTTCACTTCTGCTATATGCTATTGGTCACATAGACCAATCTCTGTACAGAGCGAGAGGGGCCTGCACAAGGATGTGAATACCGGAGGCGGGGATCATTGGGCACTATCTTGGATACCAGCTACCACATCTGCTAGCATTTTAACCCATTTAATCTAGGATTCTAACCCTGAATCTGCTATCTGCCATATAAATCAGTTTTATTTTCTCTTATTTATAAAATAAGAACATCCTAATTCAGAATCTTGAGGGTTAAAGGGCCTCAGGTAACTGATTCTCCCAGATTCCGAGTTCAAGCACTCTTTTTTTTTTTAAAGATTTTATTTATTTATTTTTCCCCCCAAAGCCCCAGTAGATAGTTGTATGTCATAGCTGCACATCCTTCTAGTTGCTGTATGTGGGACTCGGCCTCAGGATGGACGGAGAAGTGGTGCCTCGGTGCGCACCCGGGATCCGAACCCCTGGCCACCAGCATCGCAACACCACGCACTTCACCGCCAAGCCACAGGGCCGGCCCTAAGCACTCTTTTAAATGGTGCAATTTAAATAACATTCAGATAGTAAACAATGCCTCACCTACAACTGGAAGGCACTGCCCCAGGTTGCTCTTTGCCTTGTGCACATGGACAAGCCATCTATGACAAATGGTTTGTTTTCTTCTTAAGATCTACAACTTCTATAGAAGTATAATGATGTACACCTGAAATTTATACATTATAAACCAATGTTACCGCAATAAAACTTAAAAAAATTAAAAAGATTTGCAACTTCTTTAGTAGTCTATTCAAACCCTTTCAGGAGTGTTATCTGATGCCCAACTGATATTTCTTAAAATAAGACTTTTTCACCTTGTTTGGTCTGGACACAGGTCAGCATTCTTCTCAAAGAAGCTTTCATTTATTTTGAAATATTAAAACAATTTTTTCAATACAAGAAAGAATCAATACGAGAAACAAGTTTATTTTCAAGAAGCTTGATTTTCCTTTTCAGCTAGTTCCAGAAAAGGACTGTTACTTGAGATACAATGTTAGAAAGGATTAAGTACCTTTCTGAAGGCATAGCCAGCCATCTTCAGGGAGCAGGAATATTAAACAGTAAGTATAAACAAAATGAATAATACCTGTATTAACATTTTTATCCTAATTTTTTAAAAATTTACTATGCTTTATGGAAATGTTTATATTTCCTTGTGTAAAACATGCTGGCAAGGTTAGCTTCCCCTTCTCTATTTTTATTTCCAATTTAGAATATAATCACCCTCAAATAGTGTTTATCCAACAGATTACATTTAAAAATGTCAATTTAGTTCTCTTTCTATCACTAAGCCACTATTATTATAAAAAGGAATATGCAATGTTAAATTTAGCAGCCCTAATTCTTAAAGGCCTTAGAACAGCGCTGTCCAATAACATAGCCACCAGCTACATGTGGCTACTGTGTGCTCAAAGTGTGGCTAATCTGAATTGAAATGTGCTATAAAATACACACCGATTCTTAAGATTTAGTATGAAAATTTTAAAAATGTAAGATCAATGATTCTTTATATAATAATTAAAATATCTCAATAATTTCTATATTGATTACATGATGAAATGATGATTTGGATATATGGGATTAACTAAGTATATTATTAAAATTAATTTCACCCATTTCTTTTTTCTTTTTTAATATGTAGTCTTGCCAGATAAAATACAGGACGCCCAGTTATATTTGAATTTCATATGTCCCTGCATATATTTTAATACTATAAAATTATTCATTGTTTATCTGAAATTCACATTTTAACTGGGTGTCCTATATTTTTGTTTGCTGTATTTTTATTTTAAAATAGAAAATTTTAAATTACAAATGTAGCTACTTATTCTATTGGACAGTGAAGCTTTAGAATCACCTAGTTGCTTTTTTTTTTTTTTAACCCAGTCAACTCTTGAGCTAACTCTGAGCAGAAATAACTAATCTGAGGGGAATATTTAATCCTAGGCTGGGATCGTCAATAATCTTGAAGTTAAATTTTTACATTTGTTTGAACAAGTTAAACGACAACAAAAGGGCTTGTTAGAGACCAAAATATGGAAAGGGCATTTGGACTAGAATCAAAAATCATTGCTTTCTTGGGCTGGCCCAGTGGCTTAGCGGTTAAGTGCGCGCGCTCGGCTGCTGGCGGCCCAGGTTGGGATCCTGGGCGCCCACCTAGGCACTGCTTCTCTGGCCATGCTGAGGCCGTGTCCCACATACAGCAACTAGAAGGATGTACAGCTACGACATACAACTATCTACTGGGGCTTTGGGGGGGGGGAAATAAATAAATAAAATCTTTAAAAAAAAAAATCATTGCTTTCAGCCTCTCCATTAGGGTAGTTAACGGGTTCCGGTTACAAAATAATCCCTGCCACTCTTATAAGGATGGGCTTGTCAAGGGCATCTAACTAGCAGTGAGACCCTGGGCCAGTCCCTGTCCACCTGCAGGCCTCCGCAAAAAGTTAGGCGGCGGTATTTTTAATACTTGAGCCTCGCTTCCCGCTTGCCCACCAGTCCTGTCCCCTCCCCCGGCTCCGCGCTGGGGCAGCGAGCTCGGTCTCAGACGCCGGGGCCACGAGTCTCGCCGCCTTCCCAAGCCACGCCAGGGCTACCTCGGCTGCAACCTCCGCGCTGGGCCCGGCAAGGCCGGGTCCCGGGGTAAGCGGCCCCGCCG